TCTTGTATACCTTTGGAACAGTTTATCTAACTGATGATCTGTCTTTTAAAAGCTCCCTAAAATCATCTGAAAAAAAAAGTTCTTGCATACATTTTGGAACAGTTATCTATAAGAAATAGTACTAGAAAATTATTAATAAAATTATTATTATTATCTTATCCACCGTGGTATTTTTTACCCCCAGGCTTGTTTACCTACTTATTTTTAAACCTAATTTGAATCTATTAAAACTACGGTTTGATGAAAACTTTCAGCACCAGGAGGCACTCGCTTTTTTTCACATCGAGCTGATACAAGCCGATGGCAGGTGCTTACGAATGATGTAAGATGTGTGCACGTGAGAAGTGCACGTACACACACACTAGTGTGAACAGCAGGTGCATGACGTCACAGTCATACCCGCCAGTAAAGTGATATAAACACCGTCTTATGAGTAAGGGATTTGTCATTCATGCAAGTGCACGTTGATATGCATGTGCCCCCCTGCCCCCCCCATCTCCCACCTCCATACACTCTGGTGCACTGCAGCAGCATTGCACCATAATGCACACATCCAGACGTGTCCCCCCTCTCTCTCCCCCTCCCTCTCTCCCTCTCCCTCTCTCCCTCTCTCCCTCTCTCTCTCTCTCTTCTTCCCTCTGATTCTTATCTCCATCTGTTTCTCCCAGCAGCTGGGAAAGTATGGGAATATTATCATCTGTGTGGGATTATGGAAGTGTGATGGCGATAGTGAGGCTCTTTGGCTCCGTCTGTGTTTATAGACACAGACCACAGGTGTGATATATAATGTAATATATGTTAAATAATTATAATTTTTTAAAATAAAATTCTACAATGTTTTGCATATATCCATAGAGAAATATAATAAAAACAAAACATTTTAATGGTTGAAAAGCTTTTTTCACACCATCAGCTCCAAATATTTGCAAAAACATCAGAAATATTGGCAAAATACTGCAATATATAGGTGAATGTAAGATCATAAAATGAACTATTTTGGATACAAAATGGACCACATCAGTTGAAAGATTGCTGGAAACCAGTAGAGTATGAATATACAAAGGTAAACCAACATGATAGCTAAAGGTTGTTTGGTGTTTAAATCAAACTCGCAGACGGTCTTTGAGTGTAACTCACAGCCATGGCTAAGGACGGACACAAGCACAGCCTTTGTTGTGAATATATTCTGACGTATAAGCTCACATACAGTACGTGCTGTATACACACGGACACACAGTAGCAGCCATTGTAGTGAGATTGAAACCTCCTGTCACACCGGGACCAGACTGAGCTGAAATAAAGAGGTGCATTCACCTAATGAAGAGCCTCTGAGCTCCACCAGCAGGGGCAGCGGTTCATTAAATCATCAGTTGTTTTCGTCTCCTTCGTCTCTGCTCCTGGAGGAGTATTGTATTTGCTGGAGGTGATGAAGTCCAACTACTCAATGTGAATGAAGTACTGCATGTATTTGTCTGTCATTGTGCTCTTCTTCTGTTTCCTCAACCACTGCATCAGGACCTACAGGTCCTGTCAGTGCAGTATGTGAACCTGATCCTGAGCTCCGCAGCCTTGCAATTTATATCCCACCTCTATGTGGGTCAGCGCTATGCTGTGTCAAGTTGGGGGGCGGGGGGTGGGGGGTCTGGTCACGTGCCTCAGGTCTGTGTGAGGTCTATAAGAGTTAGATGTTGTTTATGTGTAACGTAGCATATCTGAAATAAAACAACAAAAATATACAGCTAACACAACATATTTGTTAGCTGCAGTTATGGCGTGTTAGCTGCTGTTTTCATTTGTCACAGACAGATGGCACTGTCCAGTTAATGACGCAGCAAATTCAGCTGTCACACTGTTACAGGTGTGTTTCATATAGAACTTCAATCAACGGGATTATAAATCGCTCTTGGTATAAGTCGCATCAGTGCCCTCTAGTGGCTGTCAGTGTGAAAATAACAAGCATGTGAAATTATATATTTTAATATATAAGCCACACCTGAGTATAAGTCGCAAACCCAACCAAAGGATGAAAAAAAGTGCGACTTATAGTCCGTAAAATACGGTCTGTCGACTGAGTGAACTAACTGTTAGTAGAAGCTTCTTCAGAGCTAGAATCTCAGAGTTTTTGCTCCCAGCAGTGAATTTCTTTTTTTCCCACATGAAATCATCCATTCTTTCTGTAATTTTCAACTTTCATGGTGATTATTTCTGCCTTTTCTTTGTGGTTTGTATGTTTTGCCGTTTCCTTTGACTTACTGAATAAGATACGAATGACCGTGGATTTTGTGCTTTGCAGTCGCTCCTGCCTCATCAATCTTCATTTCATACTCCTTTAGATTTGAATTTCTTGGTGTTGAATAAGCTGAAAACCACCCTCCAGATTATGAACACTTTGCTCTGCAGAGATGAGTCATGTCACAGGAATTTAAATGGAATATTTAAATGGAGTCTCAGTGACGACTCAGCAGCTCTGTGTTTATTTGTGTACTGAAGGCGTGTTTTATACATGACCAGACTTCCAGCCGGAAAAAAAACAAACAGCGTTTTTCTCTTTTTTTTTTACACCTGTGTGAACGCACTAGACCAGATGTGGAACTGAGACCGTTCTGAATTTGTGGCAGTGTTACAGGTAATCTGGTCTTTGAATCTGGTCTGAGAATAAACTCTTGACTAAAATAAAAATAGACCCGGGTGTGTGTGTGTCTTACGCTTCTGTTCTGCTCTTATGTTGTTGTTGTTGTGTTAAATCTGAGTCGTTGCTCTTGGACTGGCTGTGTATTTGTTTTCTAGATCATGCAAAACATCTGAATCAGTTCACCTCAAACTGACGGGGAGGGCAGGGAAAACAGCCGCAGTAAGAACACAAACGGGTCGGGAAAACTGCACAAAAATAACTCTTTTACTTAGAGAGTCGTTGCACAGCCGGGAAGTGGAGCAGCTTATGAGACAGTGTGGAGAGCAGAGGGGGTGAAGGGGTGAGAGAGGGTGTGTAAATCTGAATACTAACATTTATGGAGAGTAAAATTCAGATTTTAACTTGTTTAAAGGATGAACCCAAACACACACAAAAAAAAAGAATCAGCAGTTTTTTCTTGGTGACCCCACGTAAACCTCCCCCTCCTCCTCCTCCGTCACTCACGTGAGACAAAATTTTGTTTATGTTGTCTGTCAGAGAAGAACCCTTGTGTAACACTATACCAGCAGAGCTCATGTTACAGATACACACACACACACACACACACATTCACAATACCTGCTTGAACACAGCAAAACAATGCAACACACTACAGACGTATGATCAGATTGCATTCAATGCCCTCTGTGTGTGTGTCTCTGTGTGTGTGTCTGTGTCCAGATTGTGCAGATAGCTGAGTCAGCGACACTCACACACAACAGCCCTCTCTCACACTGTTGCTGTCTGCATCTCATGACATCTTTAGAGCTCTTGAAAAGAATCTCCTGTTAAATTCTAATTGGAAAATCCAATGTGAAAATCATTTCAGTACCACAGCTGTTAAAGGTGCATGTCACACGTCACGGGTTAGTCTTTCTCTCAGGTGCACAAACAACCAGTCAGTCAACCAGTCAATCAACTAGTCATATTGACAGGAGGTGTAACCTTTGAAGGCCTTAAGGCACATGTGTCAAACTCACGGCCCAAAACAGTGTTTAATTGCCTTAAAATAAACACAGAGCAATGAAGAATATTTGTAATGACTTTTAGAAATAAGAGGAGGAGGAGGAGGAGGGGGGGGAGGAGGAGGAGGAGAGGAGGGAGGGTGGCGTTAGTGATAACCATAGGATAGAAACAGCTCATGTAAAACAAACAGGGTGCAGACCTGAGTGCACCATTGTTTGTTAGCCACATGAAAATACTGCTTAGGGTTTAATAAGTTTATGTTTAATATGCTTAGCTTCTAATAGTCTTAATGTTAACCCTCTGTAAACACGACAGAGCCGTTTGAAATGTGACTGGAACGGGAACTCTGCTTTTATGTGAATACATTCCCATTTAGAGGGAATACATGCTAGAACATGACTGGGGTGTGGTCAGGTTGTAGGGAAGATACATAAACATTACCAGTGTTTGTGTATGTGTGTGTGTGTGTGTGTGTTGTTGTTGCAGCAGGCTGTACAGGACAGCCGGCGACTCTGGCATGTGTTTTAAATGGAGTGTGTGTCTGTGAAGGAGCGGGGCTGTTATGTAATCTGCTGCAGTGTGTGAGGTCAGGTGTAGAGCGGAGAGAGGGGCATGTGTGTGAGAGCGGGTGGGCACACAACTGTGTGTGTGTGTGTGTCCTGATTGTTATTGGTGAAATGTACGAGCATCAAAAAAAAAGGAGAGGAGAGGTGAAGAGAGATGCTCCAGAACCTGACGGTCCACAACTGACAGTCGCTTTAAATCGTCCGTCATCGTTTCTCCTTTTGTCTTTGTGTTCAAACGTTGCGATCACTCTAGGCTTCTATCCCTGCACCTCTTTTCTTTGGTTATGGTTCCATGGTGTAGTGGTTATCCCACCTGCCTTACAAGCAGAAAGTCGTGAGTTCGAGCCACCTCCTGTGTGTTTATGAGACAAATATGAGACGAATAAGTCCATTTTGCGGTTCCATAGCTTAGTGGTTATCACTCCTGCTTACACGTCTGAGGAACCACATACTTGGCGCCTCCTGGTGGGGAGCCTGTTGCAGCAGATCTGCTGTCCACAGAGCAGAGTAGAACCACAGCTTTTTCTTTCAAATATATTATTTTTTTTTACTTTTTACTAATTCATTTTGTTCATGTTGGAGATGCTAACTTAGACTAATGACACACGACACTGTTTCACCGCCTACAGCTGCTACTGACCCTGTGTCACCTGCAAAAAAGACAAATTCCTGCAGCTAACCTGTGTCTATGTCTGTTTTGTGCTCTTTTCTCTCTCCATCGCCCGGACACGCTGCCCTCCTCCTGACCAATGGGATGTCTTCACCGCCTCTCCGTGGGACTCATCTTCCTTCCTCAGATTAATCATTAATCGATGGGGATTTTCAGAGGAGCTCCGCCCACCGCCGCCACCACTGCCCACCCCTCTCTCGCCCCCATTTCCCCCGGCGCCCCCGCCCGCTCCATCCTCCAGCCTTCCATATTAAAAATGACTCTGGAACTCACTGAATGGTCTTCTATATGGATTTTTACTGCCTGTAATAGACAGTAAGAAAAGAGGGAGAAAACCTCAATGACAAAAAAGCCATAATCACTCCCTCTCACACACACACACACACACACTCACACAAACACACACAGGCACACATATACACTGACCAACATACTGAACACACAAACACACCTGGAATGTATCGCACACTCTACCTGTGAAATGTCAACTGCTTCCTTCACTTTCGTGATTTTCTACCAGCGTTTTGGAAGTCTGATTTTGTCGGGGCGAAACTACACGTCAAGAGGAGAGTTAAAAAAAGAAACATTTTAAATGGGAACCATTTTTGGATGCTCTTTAGGCAGGCATCTGTGTTGATGAGTGAAAACAGACACAGGCCTAAAGCTGAGATTGTTTATCGAGCGTAGTCCTTGTTCAGTTTCAGACGACCTCAGTGTAGATTCATTCTGTTACCTTGTTTTGAAGCGAGTTAGGATTTTATTCCAATGGTTTAAGTCTTTAACGAGTTCTAATTAAAAGTAACAACCGCCGACTGGTTGTAGGTTGTTAATGATTGTAGTTAAGTTACTTCTAGGAAGTCGACTCTAGCTATTATAGAATTATAGAAGTGACTTGTTACAAGTTCTTTGTGGAAACACAGTTGTTTTTTTTTTTTGCAAGCCCCAGATTTCAGTGTTAGGAAGGATACGCTTTCTCTTCCGGTGGCTTGCATGCCATCCATCATGCCTCCCCAGAACACAGGGGCTGAAGCTATGCAGGTTGGATCTTTGGTGGGCGGAGCTAACAACAAAAACTCAGCGGCATCGGGGATGGACGTGGAAGAAGGAGGAGCGGGTGGCGAGGTGGACGGATCCGGAGGAGGACGCGGTGGGGAGGAGTCGGGGAGCGAAGGATCCATAGAAGGCATTCCTCTGAAGAGATGGCTGATGCACGGGGCTGTGATGTTTGGCAGGGAGTTCTGCTACGCCATGGAGACGGCGCTGGTGACGCCCGTATTGCTGCAGATTGGTGAGTGGAGAGCCCAGTTTGTTTGTTACACTAACAATTTCCAATGAAAAATCGAATGTTACAACTAGAATTACAGTCCGTTACACTAGCCAAACTTGGTTAGATGAACCTGATCTTTGAGGGTCTTGAAAAATATGAAACCCTTGAATCCTCACACACAGAGTCCACAGAATGTATTGTCAACTGCCAAGTCCAGTGATGTCTGGGCAGCCGCCGGCCCGAACATGCACTGAGATTTTAATAAAAGCCAAACAAACAGTGGGAGACGGAGGGAGGAGCAACAGCAGGGTTAGAAACTGAAATGCCAAAGAAAATTGGAGATGAAAGCCTGAAGCAGCAGTTCCCTTATTTATAATTCAAAGTCACTTACCATGAAGTCTCACCCACGTTGTCTCACCCCTCCACCCCCCCACCCCCCACTGTCTTTCCACTGCAAATCTCTTCTTCCCTTCAGTGATGTTAAGTGATCTCCTCTCTTACACAACCGAGGCGACATGAGTGGCAGGTCATTCTGTGGCCACCGTCACTCCTGGCTGCCCCCCCACCCGACCCCCTCCATCCAGGTCTTAGACCCAGAAGTCAAATATAGACGTACCTTTATTTTACTTTGTTCAAATCAGGACCACATCTTAGTTTAATGATGGAATTGCTGAAACATTTAATTTTGCAGTCCAGTCAGTGAGGCCGAGGTGAGTTCAGTTTGTAGCTGATAAGAGCCTGACATGGCAGATAATCCTGTCACGTCAGGCTCTTATTAAGGAGGAGGCAGGGGTAACAGACTTCCATTTTGACCTGTTATCTCCATCATAGACCTAGAGGATATGGTTTCCCTCCAAATGAATTATGTAGTAGCTGGCCTTCAGCAGTGGCCAGGCCTCAGACAGGATCACGCAGTCAAAGTGCTTGATGGAGCCTCAGAGATTGAGTTCATTAGGTTTTATACAAGTGTGGAGCCAGAGCTGTGGTGTGTAAACAGTTGCTGCAAAGGATTTATTGTTAAATTCAAAATGATTCAGATAAAAACTTTGGAACAGCTGCGTTGAGAGCTTGACAGTTAGTAGTAGAAGGCAGTAAAGGTGAGGTGAGAGGGGTAAGTTGTCTGTATATCTACTGGAACATGCTAGAGGGGTAAGTTGTCTGTATATCTACTGCATTGTTAGCAACACGCTCGCAAGCAACAGTTCCCCCTCTAAGAGTTTGACAGATCATAAACCCTTCCCTTATCAACGCTGCAAATAAATCCCATATCAACTGGTGTGTGCAACTGGCTGCCTGCAGCTCGCCTCATTAGCATTAGCATTACCGTACGCAAATACCTTTTTAGTGAAACAGCTCTGCGGATTTGTCTGAGCAAGAAGATCATGTTGCTCACCACAGTGAGGTCGTATCGACGGGACACAGATATAAATCTGTAAGACCTCATTGTTCCCATTTTGTGTGGAAAACCTGAAAACTGACATCGTCAAGGTGTCAGTGCTATTGTAACACAGAGAAACGCTACGAAGAAACAACAATGAGAACACCGTGTGGAAAACAAAAATAATTCATGTTTTCCTCCCTCGACTTTATTTTACTTTTACTTCAACCCTATTGTCCGGCCTTTTCCACTTTCTCCATATTAGGTGGCTGCTCTGGGTCTGTCCAGACAAAGAGGAGTGTGTGTGTGTTTTTGTATGAGTGTGTGCTCAGCAGAGTGTGCTGGTCAAAGCCAATTCACCACAGAAGAAACTTCTACCTTACAAGGTCATCAGTGCAGAGCTCTGTTGTGTCTCTGACAAAGAGGAAGCACTCACTCACTCACACAGTGCCAGGACACAGGACTGTTCTCTGGGTACGTCAGCCTCGGTTCCATTCTTAGCAGTAGTAGATATAAATGTTCACCTACTGCTGTTCATTTTATTTATTGGCTCAAATAAATCACTCAGCTAAAGGTTTGATTCAGTAGAATAAAAAGGAAAGAAAAAAGAAAAATTAGTTGAGAACTAAATTGCGCTCCCTGACGTTTGTGCTCTGTCATCACCTGAGGTCGCTGACGGTGGTTTGTTTTTGATGACCACTCCTCCCTGTGGGGGATTAGGGCAAGGGTGCAATGTGCTTACAAACAAATACAAGCTTGTGCACACACACACACACACACACAGAGGAATGCAGTGGCACATTGAGGCCTGCATTCTTCACATATCTGACACCCTTACCTTCCAAATAAACCTTTCATAAACGTCTGTTGCATGGAAAAGTACTCGTGCACTGACGTTCAGTGTTTCTTTGTGTAACACTTTCAGTGTTTTGCTGACCTTGTACTTTTATTACAGTCTTTATAAAGACATAAATTCATCACGGCCCCTGCCAGGATGCCCCACTGCTGGCCCAAACACCATATTTTGGGCCCTGGAACGGTATGCGCTGCGTTAATGTTAACAGGATAATGAAAAAGGTTACTGCAGCTATAATATGAAGCCTTATAAATAGAAAGGCTTTAAATAAGTGACCAGACTGCTGCCAGTGTCTGCCTCTCTGTACAGACTGACAGAGCAGAGTGTGGAAAGGTTTGGCCCAAAGTGAAACACCTCTGAAAAAAAACAGAACACAGCTGATATTTTGACGTCCTCCTCCATCTGTTCTGTCTCTGAGTGACGTCGTCAGATTATGGTGATTAGTCTCTGTCTGACATGTAGCCACTCATTCAGATAACCTTGCGTTACTTTCTCTGCAAGGTCATCAGCAATATTAGACGGTCCGACATGATGGGATCAAGTCGTGGATTAGCACTACCTGGCCTGCTAGCACGAACAGCCTGGTTACTGCCCTCTGTTGGCTGAAACCCATTTGTTGTAACTCTTCCTTGTGGTGTCACTGCATCTGAACAACTGATTTTGAGAACATACTCCGACTTCATGTAGGTGGCAGTAATGTGAGCCAAAAGCACAAGAAACCAGACGTGTGGATTAGAATATATATTTGAATAAATATACTGACTTACTTACTCACTATGTGCTTTTATTTTTCATGTTTTTTTTTTTATAATAAAGCATCAGTACAGTAGGAGTAGGTTGCGTTCTTGGTAAAAGCTTAAAAAGCTAACAACACGCTAAGATTCACAGGACTGAAAAAGCCCTGCGTCAGCGCACATACATGTAACTGGTGGAGACCTTTTTCCGACGGACTCCTGTGCCTGCAGTTCAATGGGATTACTGTCAGATCACTGCTGATTGGCTTTATTGATCGCTGCTTTATTAGCGAAAGGGCAGTGAGTTAAGCTGGTTGGAGCTTCCTGTTCGTGATAGGTCAGTCCTCCGCTGCTGCATATTGATGTGAACGACAGATGGCAGGGAATTTAAACCAGCGCACAATTAATACTTTTATATAAGGCTTTGGATGAGATTATTTAAATGTATGTAAAACGTAGCGCCCTCTTGTGTTTTCTCTGCTTCTCTCCAACAGTGTGAGGTCAGTTCACTGCAGTGCTGTTACATAACTCTGCTGATGGGCAGATGTGTGTGTGTGTGTGTGCATACAGACTTCATGCAATATTAATGCCACCTTTTACATAGTGAGGAGTGGAACTGCATTCATTTAGTGGATATTTCAGGCTCTTGTTTCTATTCCTGTTTGCAACTAGGTTTTTGTCATTTTCCTTTCATTTCTAAGCACATTGTTTCTTAAACTGATTTTGAGGAATCTGTATCTGCATTTTTGAGTCACCTTAAACAGTTGCTGCCTTTAGGTTTCAGCTTAGTAATCTTGTGTCTGTCTATCTTCCAATAGTCTTATTGGCTAACATTTAGCGAGTCTTTTTATTTGAAAAAAGTGCAGCGTTTTCTCTGGTTTAACTTTTAGATATTTTTGGCCCAATGTGTACTTACTTCTTTGGTGCTTTTCTTTACCCTTTTTCTAATCTTCTTAATTTTTAAATGTTCGTCTATTCTGTGTGAGAAATCCAAACTGACACTGAGAGAACAGAGTCTTTCTGTTGTCGTTCATCACTCGGCCACACGGCTGAACTCATCTATACATCACTCAGTGTTTGACTGGAGCTGGCTCTTTGTTAATGATGACCTTGGCTCTGCAGCCTCTATATGCTGTGTATGTGTGTGTGTGTGTGTGTGTGTGTGTGTGTCTGCTCCGTGATTGATGTTCACACCAGCCAGTGCTGCTGGGAAGTTAGTGTGACTCATTCATCCTTTCTCCTCTCCTCTTCTCTCTCTCTCTCTCACACACACACACACACACAAATTGGAGTTATAGTTGTCCATCACTCTGCTTTACCTTTTTTTCATCCATCACTTCTCAGAAATGATTAAATCTTCACAAACATCCGCTTGGTGTTTGTAAAAAAAGAAAAGAAAAAAATTGATGACTCAGCATTTACTTGACAACGACAAACTGACTGAGGGGGGTTGATTGGTTGATTTTACTTTATTTAAATAATAAATAAATAATCAAAAATTGATGACTCAGCATTTACTTGAAACGACAAACTCACTGAGAGGGATTGGTTTTACTTTATTTAAATAATAAATATATAATTCAAATTTGAAGGTTCTCTGTTCACAGAGGTGTGCACCGGTCAATCAATAGATTGATCAGAGCAGCAGTGTCAACTTCACAGGTATTGATCAACTGTGGTTTCACAGCCAAACGTCTGCAAATTTAATTTCACATTCACATTATTGGACGTAACAACGTAACAAAACAATTAGCACAAACAGAGAGGAGGAAGTGAGCTGGGGAACAGGACTGTCCTAATTTTGGATCAGAGTTGAATTAAGACAAACATAAATAAAAAAAATATCAATGTCAATCAATTCATCTTTGAAACACCGTTCTGTTCCCTTCTGTTTCTCCATCCCTTCTCTGTGAATAAAGCACCTGACTCTTTTCCCCTGCTTTGTTTATAAAACACCTGCTTCCTCCTCTCCTTTCCTTTCCTTTCCTTTCACTCCCTCCTTCCTGCTTACTTTCTCCCTCCATGACCTCTGCCCTCCTCTCACTCTCACATC